ACGTCGCCAGCCAGACGCGGGCCTCTCTCCACCGGCCGGAGTGGCGCATCCTCAACCATCTGCTCGCCTGTTCCTACACTCCCAGCAAGGGCTCGGCCAACCAGGTCACACTCAGGACACTGTTCTTTATGCATGCGATTGGTTGCTCTGAGGACACCATCCAGCTGGGCTCTGTGCTTGCCCGGACGTTCGGCAAAGCCTCCGCCAGCCACGACCGCGACCTTGTTTGTGGCCCGATGATCAACGCCTTGGCCCGCTACTACGGGGTCGACTTCACCGGGATGACCCAGGTCCGAGGACCAACCCCGCTCGGCGAGGCCACCCTCCACGCCCAGCATTTGGTGGCTCGCCAGGGGCGTCTGCACTGGATTTTGGGCTTCCCCCGCCCACCTGTGCCTGCAGAGGGAGATCAGCCGGAGTCCAGCGCAGCTGGGGGACGCCGGGTTCCCCGGCGTACTTTTCCTCGTGCCCAGGCTCCCGCGAGCCCCTCCGCTGCACCCAGATCTCCTGCTCCGGGGTCTCCTCCCCACGTGGTGCCCATCTCTGATCAGTTGGCGGCCATCGCTCAGCAGAACGAGCGTATTCTGGCCGGCCAGGAGCGCCTTCACACCCGCCTCGATCGTGAGCGGGACCGCGGCCGTCGTCTGATGTCCGGCCAGCACTACATTATGTCCTACCTGGGTCTGGACCCGAACACAGTTCACTACCCCTTTGTGCAGTCCCCGGGCTACGAGGACGAGTACCCCCCACCTTTCGGCGATGGTGGCGATGCATTCTAGTGGCGAGTGGCTAGCTCTGTGCCTCATTTGTTTTCCAGACTGAGACTCCATGTTCTTGTTGTTTCGTTTTGTTTTATTTTGGATTGTAGACTTGGAACCCCGGTTCTTTCACCCCAGTGTGTCTTTTGTTGACTTTAGCTCTGTACCTCGGACTGGTTCCCCTTCCAGTCCTCTGCTATTAACTGGTCTGCCTCCCAATCTCCGTTCCTGATCTCATTTCACGGTAACATCGTTCCCCTTCCATCTGCTCCATTGGGGACATTGTCGCATTTAAGTGTGGGGGGGGGGGTTCTTTGTATTAATTGGAACGTGTATATGAGTGCTTGGAGCCTAGTCCGCTGTCCAAATCTCGAGATTTGAGGGCTCCAAACACTGCTTGATGTTTGATCGTATTGGCACAGTGGATGTGATTAGTGAATTGAATGGCTTTTGACTTGATGCATGACAACTTGAGTGTGACTAAGACAACCTATTATGATGACTGAGATGTGTAGTAGAGTTGTGTAGGGGTTCAGTTTTCAACTGTTTGCTTACCAACTGTGACTTGGATTTGATCACTTGCTTTTGACAGTCATTTATGCATCTAGTTCAGGGAATCAGAATGTGAGATAGAGCATCTAGGTAGCCATGTGAGATTTGAGCCTGCTCGTTTCTTTCTTGTGCGATAGATCCCTCTTTCATGATGTGTAGCATTCACGTTGTCACTAGCTAAGATGATGGAGGCATAGGATTAGCCCACGACCAAATTGACTGTCCTGATGTGTCATATCCCCTAGTCAGCCCCTTTGAGCCGTGTGTTATCCTTTCTTTCGGTCTACAATGAAAAATCACCCTTTTGCATCTTTTAGAAGGTTCCACAGAGTGATTTTTACATGTTTTCTGTTGTTTCTGCTAAATGTAATGTGAGGGTTGGAGGTAGTGCTTAAAAGTTGGGCATGTGTTTGAAAAATGTGCAGAGGTGGTGGTTCTCTTAAGGAATGAAGAAAAATAATAATAAAGAAAATCAAAGAAAAAAATGAAAGCAAAAGAGAGCCACCACCAAAAATCTGAATAGTGCCCATTAAGTAGTGTTTCTTAGCAGTCTGGCTTGGAAATGCTAACATTTATATAACCTCCTTCGCTCTCGTGCCCTAAGGAATTTGAGTAATGCAGAATAGCAGAAAGAAAGTTCTGGTTTGCTTGACTGTGATTTTGTTGGGTTTGGAAATGTGGAACCTTGTGCTATTACTTCCACCACCTAAAAGGCCTTTTTTCCCATGTCCAAGACCCTAGCAAGTCATCTGAACCTGTGTCTAAGACCTCCGGATTAGTTAGTGGTGACACCCCATATGTGAGCTCTAGCATGTAGAGGCTGCATTCATGGTGAAGAGACGTTAGGAATTGAGAGAATAAGCATGCGCATTTTTTGCATCAAATTATCCTGACCCCACTGGTCGAGAGTGAGCGATTCATTTTCTCATATTCTCTATACTCTTTATCCCGATAAGGACCTAGATTGCTCGGTCTTAATTCTGATATCTTGAGCTTTGTGCATGAAGTGACTGTTTTGAATAAGTGGTTCAGTCAAGTCTATGTTGGTTGGTGAACAGAAGGGAACTCTTCCTTTGCTCGACTTTATTGCATTCGAATGTCATATGTGGTGGTTGTCTAGGTTGTCGTTAGAGTTGCCATGTGTTAATGATCGAAAGCCAGTATTATCCACGTGTTTTCTGCCGATATGATTTGCCCTAAAGCCTGCTTGATTGAAACGTTTTGAGCTTACCTGGTGTCTGACTTGGTTTGCTTGGGGACAAGCAAACGGTTAAGTGTGGGGGATCTTGATAACGATGAAATTGCACATGTTTGCACCCTTAGTTCTTATCCGTTTGTGGAGCATAGTCGTGTATTTTTGGCCTATTTTACGCCGGGTTGTGCTACTTTGTCACATTTCAGGTCCCGGACGTCGAAGGAAAGGCTAAGCACGAGTTTCGGGGCATTCGGAAGTCATTCGGTCGAGCTGGAGCCAAAGCACGGGCGCGCCTAAATCAAAGCACGACCGTGTTCTAGGACCGTGCTTTTACTGCCGAGGCTTCACCCATATTTTTCCTACACCAGCTCAAAACACGGGCGGGACTTACCCAAAACACGGTCGTGTTCACCATAAAACACGCCCGTGTTTTCCCAGGGTAGCGACCGTGTTTTTAACACGTGGCAAAGGGCACGGGCGGGCTGGAGCAAAACACGGCCGTGTTTTGCCCAGTGATGCCCTTTTAGGCAGATTTCAGCCAAAAGAGAAGGAGATTCGAGTTTTAGAGAGACATAGCAATTCCTAGAGAGAGAAAGCGACGAACAAGAGTTCCCAAGTGCCCTAGCTTGATCTTCATCACCATTGGAGCTTGGCTTGAGCTTGGAGAAGTGCCGAACAACGTCCAGGAGCTGAAATCCATCCTTCATAGTATGGTTTCCGCATCTGAATCTGCTTTTGCTTCTTTCTCTATGGAGTAGTTCTCCCATTCATCTGGGTATGGAGAACCCTAGATTTGTATGTTAGGTTTGATTGTATGAACCCAAGTACTGATTCTATGATTTGATTATATTCGATTGAGGCTTGAATGATTGAATGGCATGAATCCTGATCAAATTCCTGTTGTTTCTGCTTTAACCTAGAATGAGAATATCTACCTAGGTTGATAGAGCACCCTTAATTGAAGGTAGTGAATTGGTGACTTTAGTCGAGGAGCCAATTCACTATTCTGTACCGAAGTTACTTTGGTAGTGGAGGTTTGGTTCGTTAGGGCCTCAATCTGTTTACTCCGGTGGAGGTTAGTCGCCCGCTAGGGACTCAGATTGAGAGAGTCTGAAGACCTTTAGTCGAGACTTCAGACTGTTTAAGAACCTTCCGCGGTATAACTATCATAGAAATTGAACTTGGTAATTGCAATCCGGCTTAACTGCAGTCTAGGGGGAACCATATCCGGGTGACCTTTCTCGACTTGAAACAACCATTTAACTTGCTTTGTGTTTTTGTTTGCTTGAATCTGCACTAAAGTTTCACTGCTAGATAACAAGAATTCACCGAGTAGTCATCAAATCTAGGACCCGGGTTGACATTAAAACCCAAACCCGCTATACTACGCTTTAGGAAGTGGTTACACTTGGCCAATTTCTAGAGTGACAGTAGGAGTGAGTCACCGGTTATAATCGAAATAAGTGAACTGCCACCCCTACTTTCAATCGAATGGAGGATTACAACTGCGAGCCTGACAACATTGCGTTCTCCATCGTCATCAGTAATCTCTGCAAGAAGAGAAGAGCCAACGAAGCCCAATCCTTCTTCGACGAGTTGAAGTCCATATTCTTGTCTGACGTCATCATCTACACCAACTTATTCCACGAGTGGTGTCGCGTCGGAAATCTACCGAAGGATGAGAGGGTGTTCAGTGAGATTAAGACCGCCGACATTCAACCTAATATCTACACTTACAGCATCGTGATGGATTCACTCTGTAGATGCGGCCAGATCACTCGAGCATTTGATGTGTTCACAGAGATGGTAGATTCCGAGTGCCAGCCAAATTCGGTAATGTTCAACAACCTCATGAGAGCACATGTGAAAGCTGGTAGAACGGAGAAAGTTCTACAGGTGTACAATCAAATGAGGAAGTCGAATTGCGAACCCGATACAGTTACATATAACTTCATGATCGAGACTCATTGCAAGGATCATAACCTCGATGCAGCGATGAAGGTTCTCAATTTAATGATACGTAGCGGTTGTGCCACAAATTCTTCGACTTTTAATACTCTATTCGGCTGCATTGCTAAGGTACGTGATGTGAATGGTGCTCACAGGTTGTATGCTAAGATGAAGGAGGTGAAATGTAGGCCAAATAACGTGACCTACAATACCCTGATGAGGATGTTTGTAGAGTAGAAATCAACAGATATGGTTCTAAAGATGAAGAAAGAGATGGATGAGGGTGAGGTCCAGTCAAATTTTAATACGTACCGGGTTTTGATCGGGATGTACTATGGGATGGGGCATTGGAATAATGCTTACTAGTTCTTCAGGGAAATGATTGAGGAGAAAGGGATCAAACCGAATCAAAATGTTTACGAAATGGTTCTACAGCAGCTGAGGAAAGTTGGGCAGTTGAAGAAGCATGAAGAGCTGGTTGAGAAGATGGTTCATAGAGGATTCGTCACTCTTCCATTGTAGACGAGAGATTCCGGCGCTTTGTTTCTTTGCATGTATTGTACTTGTTCATGTTTTGTTATTTAACGGGTTATTCAGCATCTCTTACTAAATGGATATCAGTAACCCCTTAAGGTTGTACAAAATTATGTTGACAAAAGAAAAAGCTTTCTTTCTCTTGTAGCTAGTGAGCCCAATCATGCCAAAGAGAGGCCAGAGATGACAACAATCAAGTAAATACTACAGTTAATGAACAAGCCTTCAATTGCTTGGTAGGCAGTAAGACCTCTCTCCAGCACCATGAACGCATCTCTCCAGCTCTTATCCTCAGCGTTATCTCCGGATTTCTCTTCTTGCGCATCTTCTATAACCGTTCCCTTCCCATGGATCATCCGAAGCATCACAATCATTACACTGGTCAAGGCCATCAAATATATTGGCCTATAACCCTGGGCGTCGTCTTCGATTCCGATCAATGAGCGTGCAAAGTGAAAAAACAGCACCAGAATGGATATAACAAAGGAACATTTTGCTCGAGGGACCTCGGAAGCTATGATGCAGGCGTTCAGGCGCCTGGAAGAGAAAAAAGTTGTCTGCTTTCGCTTTGACGGTATTTTACTCGATGGCCCTATCGTTGTTGTTGCAGTCTGCGGCTTGGAGGATAAGTTACTAACATTTGGATTTGTCACGAATCTGGAGAGATGTGATGAATCTAGGTTCTCTGCCTTTGGAATCTGTTGGGCGATGATTGCTTCCTTCTGCTGTGTTTCAGAGACAGGGTTGTTAGATAGGAAATCTGACCCTCTTGAATGTTCTGCAACTCGACAAGAATAACCATGAACAGATTTATAAAAATTGTGCACATTTTGGAATTTGAAATGACGAGAGAATCCAATTACCGTTGAAGGATAATGATGCGCCAGCCGATGGCATTGAGGACGTTTGTTCGAAATTCTTGAGCTCTCCCGTGATCAGAGCCAACCGATCGGATCCTCTCTCCATGATTCATCGTCTCCTCTCATTTCTTCCCATCGTTGCCATCTTTTGTCACCCTGCTCCCTAGTTTTCCTTTAAAAAACTTGGTCGACCTTGTTTCTTCTTCTGGTGCTTCTGAGTTTTGGTTTTCTCGGATGTGAAAGTGATATATATATATTTCCCCCAATTATAGGCAGAAACCAAATAATCCACATGACAGAAACTATATACATCTCTCTATTCTAGGGAAAATAACTAGTGGTAAATTGAAGTCTGACTCAAATTGCACTGGCTTGAAATAGAGTGAATAAACAACAACGTCCAACCTTTGTATGTACATATGAAACAAACATAATGCAACAAGTTTTTATTTCGCATGCAACCAAAATCCTTAACCAAAATCTCATGCCTGTTTATTTTCATTCTCATGTTTTATGTGATTTTGGCAACATAAAACAAAATATGAGGGAAACAAAACTACCGCTTCCTGAGAAACAAAACTTGAAAATCTGAAAAATTGAAAACGTGTTTAGGTGAAACATTTGTTGAAACTTGAATAATAGTAGATTTTTTGAAATTAAAGTAATGAATTTTTGAATGATCCAACTAATAAATGATAAAGTCAAATAATAATATAAAAAGGAGGATAATTTTTTATTTTATTAGAGAAGATATCATATGGATATAAATTTTACATTGAGCTTTAAAAATCAAATCTAACATATTGTTTAATATAAATGAATTTTATACATTTTTAGATATTTATTTTGAAATGAAATTTTTTGTTTGAAATACAAATGAATTCATTTTCAATGATAAATTTTGAATAAGCTGAGTAATGGTAACATTGTTACTTTTTGAGCTTTATAATTGGAAACGAACAGAAAACAAAATGAAATGTAACAGGTTTTCTCGTTTCCGTTTCCAAATTATGGAATGAAAATAGGAAACATGAAATGAAAATGAAAGTGAACAGACGTCGAACGACCTCCTGCTCAGGAATGGTCATAGCCTCGTAAACATAAAATCCATGCATCCCTCTTTCTTCTTTTAGCAAGTATCAACCTCATTGTTGTAAAGAATGTTGTAGTTGAAGCTGCTTATGTTCCTAAAATAACATATTCGCAAAGCAACAGGTTTGCACCACCACCACTGATCACCAAGTTACGTTCTTCTTTACTTTCATAATACTCTTCCCGCTCACCTACCTTACTATCTGCAGATTCCCATCTTTCCCCATCTCCATGACATTTTTATTTTGAAATGCTTGCTAAACCGGGTGGTGATATTCCCTTAGGAAGATACTAGCTATCCTTAAGAAGAGAACGATTTGCCTGCACCCGTGTGAAATTCCTCATCCAAGCCCTTAAATTTCGTGTGAGAAGAGAGATCGAGCTAATCATAATTCATGATAATACATGAGTTGCCCTTCAGTTTTGGCATTGTAGGACGTAACTATGCTACAATGTTATAGAACATCAAATGAGATTAGTTTATGTATCATTATTGTATATATTTTATATTATCTTGGTATAGTATTGTACTACAGGGACACACAATAGTGATATGGGTTTTGATGACACTGTTGGTGGGTTTGTTTCCAAATATATTAAAGCCAATACAATTTTGTGGATAATAATTGATTCGACTATTTTGAACATCTTAACTGATAAAATTTGTCCATTAGGCTAACATCATAGTCAATATGTGAGACAAAGACCTTAAACTTTTTTTACTTTTTTTGGTTAAATCAAAATGTTCATTAAGCACGGGCAACTTAAGAAGACCTTAAGGGCCTCTCAATTTATACAACCATCAAAGTATGGTGAACCCTCTCCAAACTACTTACAATATGAAAAGTAACAAATCAAAACAAAGAAACTTGATTAATTGCTTCCCAACCCAATGCTGCCAATGTTGTGCCTGAACAGCGAGTCATTTTCTGCTCAAAATAGCAGAATATTTGTTACTTCAGCACACACTGAAACAGGGGGCTTAGCCATATTCGAGCCATACATCCACGAACATCTTTCGCTCCAAACAAGGCTTATAGACAAACAACACACATAACGTCCTATTATTGCCGCATCTAACTGCCTTTTCCCCTGCGTCACCCCCAACGCAAAGCATCTTCCCAATCATCTTGTCCTGAGGCTAACTTCTGTAAGCAACTTTTGAAAATAAACTGAATAAACGAGTAGGAGCAAAATAGATGAGACCTTGTTTCAACTCCTCCCAGACACGGGAAATATAAACCAGAAGTCGACTTCCCCCAATGAATCAACTTATCCTTAATTTTCAACTGACCGTGAATCTCCATCCACACTATGAAAACATGCCTTGGAATGATTTCTCTACTCCAAACCATATGGTATACCAACCAACTCCAGGGTCGCGAGGCCTAATTGTTTCCCAAACTCGCGTCACTGAAAACTTCTCCATTAGTAGCCCCCCTCCCCCACTTCATAATTTGAGCTTGGCCAGAGACATGAGGGTGCATAACAACCCTACACTTCATAATCTTTTGCCAGATCCACGATCGTGTAGTAGGTGGTTTACCATTCCAAAGATCTTGTTGCTTCACGCTTTGGTCGAGCAATAAACTTTCATGCCATCTCAACCCTAGTATGGTGCCCTATCTCACTTACATCCCAAAGGAAGGTGTTGCAAATCTTCTTCACTCCAGTGATAACATACTTGGGGAGGAGAAACAAGTTCGTCCAATACTGCAGTAGGCTTGTAAGAACAGAAGTAATAGGTTGCACTCTACTTGAAAAACTCAAAGCTTTCGCTCTCCAACTTTGGATTCGCTGGGTGATTTTATCAACCAGCACTTTGAAGTCCTTCCACATTAATTTACTTGAAAAAAGAGGGACATCGAGATACTTAACCGGCAAAATTCCCAGAGGGAAACTTGTATAATTCTAGTTTGCTTGAATTTCAGCTCCAGGAATACCTTTACATAAGAGTTGACGTTTTCAGGATTCGATCTCAGCCCTAAGACTACATAAAATTCATCCAAAAATTGCCTCACCCCTGCTATAATTGACTCGATTCTAACTCACAATCGAAGTCGAGTTTAACCAACGACCTGGTGTAGCATATGGTAACCAAGTCATAAAATTATCGAACCATGGGTCTCTAGGTGTACCTTATTTCGGTCTTCGCTTCGTTATCTAGCCAACCTAGAAAAGTGATTAAACTAACCAACCTAACTACACTACCTGATAGCATCGTATTTGCACGTGTTTTCACTCTGGTTTCCTGCCCATTTTGGCTCGAATTGATTGTTCCTTGGCCTATTTTACGCTAGGTTGTGTTCCTTTGTCACATTTCAGGTCCTAGCACATAAAGTGAAGCATAGGCGCAAGTTTCAAGTCAATCAGAAATCAATTGACGATTCGGGAGAAGAAACTCGGGTATGACCTGAAGAAGAATGGATTTCTACCTCACTTTATGGACAAAGAATCATGCAAGCTTGTCATGAAAAGAAAGAGGACGAGACTACGAGCGTCTGGGATCAAACGGTGACTGATTCGGAGTCCGGACGAGGGAGAAACGAAGCATTGAATATAGGGGAACAGGTTCGGCAGTAAAAACACGGGCAGGAGGCCTTCAAAACACGGCCGTGTTCTGTGACCGTGCTTTTACTGCCGAGAGCAAATCCGAGTTTGGCAGACATGAGCTGATTACACGGGCAGGGCTGAGACAAAGCACGGGCGTGTTTTCACCAAAGCACGGCCGTGTTCTCCCTAAAGCACGGCCGTGTTTTCACCAACATGTGGCCGTGTAATTAACCCTAGCCAAAGCACGGGCGGGCTGAGGCAAAGCACGGCCGTGCCCTCGATAGTGCTTTGGCCAATGACGCCCTTTTAGGCAGATTTTCAGCCAAAGAGAAGAGGAATCGGATTTTCTGGGCAAAAACAGAGTTTTAGAGAGAGAAAGAGCGAAGAACAAACCCTAGGAGCTATCTTGGAGTGGATTTCTCATCATTGAAGCCCGGATTGCGTCCCTAGGAGTGAAGATTGACATCCCAGAGCAGATTTTCCTCATCTTTATGAGTATGACTACTCTGATTTCTGTTTTCTCTTCTCTCTCTATGGAGTAGAACCTTTCTCTCACTTGGGTATGAAGAACCCTAGTTCCTTGTGTTAGGGATTTGATTGTAATGACTTGGGATGATATTATTGTTTGATTTTAATCGAATGATGCATGTTTCATGAATTGATTTGAGTCTGATCAGCTTGTTTCAATTTCTGCTTCAACCTGAGATAGATAGAATCTGATTAGGTTGTTAGAGCTTCTTCATTCGATAGTAGGAGATTGGCTATACGAGAGTTAGCCAGTTTACTGCTTTGTACTGGTGTTCTTAACGCCAGTAGTGGAGTTCTGTGTTTATAGCCTCAGCTTTCTATCCCGGTGAAGACTAGTCGTCTGCCGGGTAGTTAGACTGAGAGGGCTTGGTCAGCTTAAGAGATTCCAAGCTACTGTCGGATCTTCCGCAGTCTAATCAACAGTAAATCAACCCAGGGAATTGCAATTGAACCTAACTAAGGGGCTAGGGGGACTCAATCCCGAGTGACTCTTAACTGCTTTTGAAAACCGAACCATTTCCTGCTTTCTTACTGCTTTTGCTTTTAAACAACAAACACTCGACTTAGTTTGCTAGATAATAGAGAATCACGGAGTAAGCAGTAGATCTAGACCCCGGGTTGATAATATAACTTGCCTGTTACTGCATTCCCGGACTGCGATTACACTTGGTCGCAGTTTGGTGTTGTGTTTTGGCGTGTCACTACCCTAGTTAATTACAAGTTTGGAGCTCTCTTAGATGGAATCCCACTATTTCCATAATTTAGACCGATATTGTGTACCATCCTAGGTCAATTGACTCGGTATCCCTACCGTTAGGAGATAGAATCTCTCTAGAGATTGACCCGGAATGGCAAAGTGATGGATTGATAGGTTCTCTATTCAACCAAGGGAAACCCTATATCATTAGGAGATCGATCGAAATGACTCCTTCGGAGGATTCCCGAATGACATAGAATAATGGGTGACCCTAATTGCCAATAATGGACTAAAAGGGGATTTTCTCCCTCCTATGTCAAGAGCTCAATTAACATGAAATGGAATTTAAAATCAG